ACCTTGTATTCTCCCTCGTCGTTAACGTGAATATGTGAACACTGGCATAGATATGCTCAACTAGAAGACCGGGCTTTATAGCTCCACCTTAAAAATTCGTTTCTGTTTGGTATCGATTCTTCTCTAGATGATTCATTTATTCTTCCGGAAGCAGAGGCGTCAAGCTGTTTCGAACTCACTCGTTGAACTTCTTAGTAAAGGGCTTACGAATCAAAGTTCGCTAGCATATTTTACTGTCAGTCTAAAAACATTGGCAGGTTAACCACAGAAGGGCGTGTTTTTTCATGAAAACCTATGAACTATGAGCCTAAGAGTCTTTTCGGCCTCGTTTTAAAACTGTCTTCATACTGAGCTTTGTATACTATCAGTGCATATGCTAAGGCAATATTAAGAATCAACATTATTTTCTATAGCAGGAAAATGTCAGCATCGGCTTTTCATCCTTTAGGTTACTAGCATAACTTGAGTCATCGAAACAAAAACGTTCCAAATTTACATCGACCAACCTATCAAGGCATTCGGATTCTATAGTGCAATTTATAAGTCACATTTCAGACTGAGACTTCAAAAACGGATGAAGACCCTGCTATCCATACGCATGTCAGACTACAAAAGGGCAGAGGGAACTTCCAACATTAGGCTTCAAATAATAAGCGAAAGTTGCTTGCGTCACTGAAATGTCATTTAAATTTTCCTGCTGGTATAGATTCACGGTTGAGCCCATACTTAGAAACAACAACAGAATATCACTGTAGAAAAGAGGTCTATAGTTAATTTGAAAGGATAATTTCAAAATATTAGTATCCGACTGTGAGTCGTCTACCAAAGTTTAGCCCTAGTGACCATTTCGTTTTTAAGTGACACGTGACCTACTTAGGGCAGAAAACATCAAGACGGTTTGCGTTCTATTCGTTGATGTGTTAAAAATAGACACATTAAATGTTCGTACTGGCTGCCTAAGAATATACTTTATTAAAATTCAAAGCAACAATGGTAAAACATATTAGTTTAATCCGGCTTTGAATAGCCGCTTTTCAATGACCTGCAAAGAGGTAGATTGCTGGGAGCTTACCTCTTTGCGGTTATTATCTTATCGCATCTACTTAAGCACATTAAGTAGATACTTATTGCAAAAGCCCCATACAGTAAAACTCACCCCAAATTATCTGGACCCCACCTTTGGAAAATGACATTTATGCATACTGTGAAATGTAAAAACTTTAATACCTCCGTTGCCACAGAGTTCTCCACCATGGAGAACTGGGAAACCTTTTTTGTGTTCACTTGATTTCACTACCTTTTTCGACTGCATACGTGGTTCTAATGGCGAATAAACGGTATAAATTGGATGGGCCTCTTACGCCAGCGACAGAAATTAGATAGTATTATATGTATAAGTTCAAGTGAATGCAAACCCTGCCTTCTTTCCATTAGGTTTTGGGCATGATTTTTGCGGCTCTTGCCGGAAGAAGTTCAAAAGTGGCAAATCTAGATGAGGACAGTCAATATCTGAAGAAATCGTGTTGATAAAGCGGATTTATCATAAATAAAAGTATTTTGAGCAAGCAGAATAAAAACCTGATTTTATTGTCTAGGTAAGAAGTTGACATAGTGAATGCGAGGTTACTATATGATGGATGCACTTTCTTTTCACTTCATTCTGCGGTCAGAAAAACAAGGGAGATGCTATCAAAGTTATTAGTGTCCTGGCAGAAAAGTTTTGATTTGACCAGTGACACCACCAAATATGTGTAGCACAGAGAGAATTCAGTAAAAAGATACGGCCAAGCACATACTAGCTTTGATAATAGACAATAGATAAATGTTGTCAATAGCATTCAGGACGGAAAAAATAGGCAAAAGTGACTGTTAGAAATCAAATCATCGTTTAAAATCAAACAAAGAAGAGTCGGACACTGTGCAAAATTGCTCCTGTACTCAGTTAAAAATGGAATTTCCCTAAGGATTGTAGATTCCGGCATTGGAAGTGAAGACAGATCATCTAGCGCTTTTTGGTGAAGCAATGTCGAAGACAGGGGTAGCACCTAGGCATCTATCGAGTTTATTGCTGTTCGGTTCCTCAATTTAATTGCGTGATGTGCTGGTGTCTTCACGTCGTAAAGTAATTATTGATTTCTTAAGGGCAGCCATTTCGTCCAATTAAGATGACGTTACTTATTAGATTGTCTTTGGGTTATCTAAATGTCCCGTAAGGAAGGAAACGTTCTTTCGAATTGTAAAAGTAGAGCAGCAATAAACTGCGCAACCTTGGCACCTTTTTGCCTGAATAACTGCAAAGTAAATGGACGTTGTTATAATAAATTACTTCTGTTGTCTTGCTTCTTCTGTGTTTATTCGTCTCTTGTCGTTAATTACCGGTAATGTTCCGGCCGATCTGTTTCATGCCGATCAATAGATTTTGGTAAACCAGTATCATGCTCTTTCCTGTCTATTAAAACATCCCCAGCTACAGAGCTGCCGCAATAAAAATAAACTCACGGTTAAATGGACGGAAACGTTTCGGTGAATAAAAACAGCAGAAAATTAGTGCTGATAGAATTGGGGATTTTCGGACTCAGCAAATCTGTCCACATTATTACTTGCGATCCCTTGCTAAAGTTTTTTGGACAGAGGTTCGGTGAACTTGACAAAATATGTGAGTCGCTACAGCTGCAAGCCAAAATGCATCCCTATATAATTTTGTACGACCCAAGGAATCTCCAGTATCAGTATTTAAGCCACTCTAAATCGCTCAGATTGCATTTGTTCGCTTTCACTTGGACGTCACATCAAACTGAAATTCTCAGATTGTAACAGACTTTATTTGCATTTCGACCTATGCCATAATTTGCGGCTGTATGAATAGCTTAATTCATAGGTGTCGAATTTTGATGTCTGTGAAACCTAACCTTTGCGCGTGACATTGCAAAGTGTATATTGAGTGATTGTGCTGTTTCTTATGATATCATAGAGTACGGTGTATAGCTAAAAAGACAATTTCCATAGAAAACGGTTAACAAGGCGGAGCAGGAGGAGCGTTCTTGGCATTTTTGCGATAATAAGGAAATCGTTACTGCATTTGAAATATGCATACGCATCGTCTACTGAATTCATTTTATCGAAATCACGGTCCATGTTGCAAGCGATATTACTTTTTCTGCGGGCTTTATCAAAGGGACGGGAGACGAAGTTTTTTATTATCTGTTTTAAAAAAAGCCATGCGGTAGCCATGCGCTCATTTTCGCGTTTAATTTGACACAAGTTTCAAGCCAAATAATAGAGATATGCATATTATACGAGCATTATATTTCAGTGTGTATCATCGTCTCCTGCCCAGATATATCTGTACTACGGCTATAATTTCGAACCCTGCTGTTTAAATCTTTGAAAATATGAAAAGCCTATCATTAAGTTGTTTATGTTTTACCTTTTATTCCTTTGGAAATTAATCCTTGGTTATCAGACGAGATTTTGTGATGGGACACGGCATGTTAACAAGTGAGATCAATGACCATGATCTTTATGTAACCATGCCGAAATCTCGTCCTGTTTAAAACTATGACCAATAATCCCGAGCTATAGTCTCAGAAATCATCTCTAAGAGATTACTACCTAGAAATACATAAACTGTGCTTCCGAGTCATAATTCGAAAGTTGTAGCAGGATTCTTAAAAGGTTTTCATGTCACCTACAGGGTCAACGTTGGTACTTTTAATCGCGTCGTTACCATTTCCCTTCTCACCTATGACGACGCCTACAGTCGTCTGGACACGACCGAGACCAGAATATTTCTTGCAGTGGGGATGAAAAGTTGTTCATAGTCATTCCAGGAAGTGCGCTTTTTTGCGCTATGCAATGAGGCTATTTAAAGGAAGTTGTACATCTGGTGTTTTAGCGGTTTTTCGGGAAGTTTAAAATTCCGTCGACGGCTAAGATTGTGCATAAACGATTTAGCCTAATTTTTGAGGTAATAAACTTTCTTCCCGTAAGCAAACATCAATATTTTTGCGGAAGGATGATGGATAAATTGAAAATTTGTAAAAGACCACGTGTTCTAATCTGCCTAGCAACAACCACCTGATAATACGTCTATAGTCGATTTCTGACATAGGAAAACGTTAAGTGCATCATTTTAAGAGGTTGCGGATTATATAGTGAGCGGCATACTTCTTTTCCTCCAAACAAAGATGAACATTTGTAAAAGTGTAAAGACTGCGCTGTATTGTTCATGCTGTTTTATTCCAGTTTAGGCCCAGGCAGCTTTAAATTCTGCGTGTATAAATGCACACTCTAACAGTTGACTTCATTAACAATGAAGGAATTACCTAGGTTTTATTAAGTCCCTTTCTAAAAGTATCATGACACGCTTATGCAGTATGTAATTCGGAAACATTGGTATTTCAGAAATACTACACTTGTTGCAGCAAAGGTTGATCTTGCTCGAAGCTTAACATTTAGGAATGTTTCTTCGAGGAAGTCCTAATCTCCCCCATAGGTTATTGCCTATGAAACCTCTACATAAATATTCAACCTTACGAATTCAAACTACCGTAATGTATGCCCAATGGGCAGCTTTTGATTACTCGAAAGTCGATTTGGAGCGACCAGTTGTCTACGGACGTGTCAATAACTTTCCGGCGAATGTTAAATTAATGCTTGGAAAGCCGTTATTATACTGTCTTAACTACATGGACTTTAGCGAATTCTGTTTAAGGATAAAATATTGCTTTCAAACTTGGATCACATGTAAGTATCGATCAAAGCACGGTGCCTAAGGTACACGGCGAAAGCGATGGAGAGGTCAGCAAATGTCTACCAGTTTAATAGCTTTAGCACAAAAAAGAAGGATAATTCTAAAAACTTTGCATTTTATATGAAATACAAAATAAGTCATGCTGGAACCAACTGCACAAAACAGTGTGCACTCAAGTTTTTGCAGACGAAAAAAACAGGTTTTCTGGTCATGACGGAATTCAGTACTTTCTTTGGGCCCCCATAGTTTAAGTTCTTTGCTTGTTGACACCACGTAGGAATTGGCGGGGCTCACTACTATCACTGTCGGAGCTGCTGGAACTGCTGGTGCTTATGTCGCGTACTCTTTGAGGTTGCCGCTGTGGGGGCTGCTGGCTGATAAACGGCTGAGGATACTTGAAACGTTTGAGCTCGGTTTCGCTTTCAGAACTGCTGCTGCTACTGCTGCTGCTGCTCTCAGCCCTGTAGAGGAAAATCCTGCTTCTATGCGGTTGTCGAGATCTCGAGGATGCCTGCGCGGCCGCAGCACCTCTCGTGATATTCTTGTTCCTATGCGGAGCCAAGTAGTAAACACCACCGTTCGGGAGGGCTGAGTGCGAATAACATTCTGTTTCACTGGAAGATGAGGACGAAGAAGAACTGCGGTATTTCTTGGTGGCTTTGGATTTCTTATCAAATGCTACAAAATGGCATTCGCTGTCTCTACGCCCGCCAGTTGATTTGGACGGTTTGGACTCAGGCGTTTTCGGTTTGACTTTGTCTGATTTAGAAATGGTTGGTTCCGGTGTGCTTTGCCTGCTAGATTCAATTGTTGGCTGTGTAGCCGTCAAACTCGCGCGTGAACTGACGCGTTCGTGAGCACTCGGGGAGCGCGAGGATGAGAATGAGGACGAGGAAGACCTAGATTGCGTTCTGCTTGGTGTCTTCGACTTGGACACGGGGGACTTTCGACTCTGATACGGTGATGTTGACAGAGCCCTTGAAGAGGAGAATGAGGTGTGGCTCTTTCGACTACGTCGGCTACTAATGCTGGGAGGTGGTGGAGACACGGGAGAGGGGCTTCGTTCCCTTTGCTGTGCCACTTCATAGTTTTGGCTTCGAGATGAGCGAGAAGACGAGGATGAGGAGACGGAACGACTCTTCAAGCTTTCCCTGCGGGGCTCATGCGGAGTCTCGACAATTCTGTCGCTGCTGCTAGAGCTTGTACTTGACCTGCGACTCTCCCTGGTGCTAGGCGTTGGAATTTCTGTAAGGGATTTGCGGCTTAAAGCTGCACTCGAGCGTCTTGAGCTCGCAATGGCGGCCGAGTTGTCTACTACCACCAAGGGGATGGGAGCGTTCTTTAGATTGGATTTCTCCGCCCACTGGGAGGTTTGCAATACATTCACAAACTTTACCGTTTTATCTACAGATGTAGGCGCGATGATGATGTACTGGGGCTTGATAACCTTATCCTCAGCAGCCAACACGACACATCCGGGATTATCAGAGAACTGGTAGAAGTTTTTCACGGATGAATATGCGACCTGTTCAATTTTCGGCTTCTTGCCGAATGCTCCCTTTTTCTTTAGAGACAGACCACTGGCACCGGCGGTAAGTTTTGCCTTTACGGACTTCTTCTGTTCCAGAAGCTTCTTCAGGGCCTTTTGACCATCGCTAGGGTTGAAGGGGGCTTTTGGATTGCGTGGCACTGGGCCGTAGATTTGCACAATATCTTCAAAGTAAAAAGGTTGCTTGTTCTTGTCAGTACCGATTGGCTTCAGAGTCGCCATTGCTATGGTGAGGTCAGGTCCCAGAAGTGCAGTGTGAAGTAACCTTCACGAGGTTCACGTATTTATTTAATTACAGCGGTCGAAGATGGCGAAGGCTGCCAAGCACACCGCCACCCGCATCTGCTCAAAGTTCTCTGTAATTGGTTGGCTGTGGGAGTAGCTGATTCACGGGTGACGTTGTAGACGCCCACAGGATCATCATACGGCGCACGAGATTCGGTTCGTACTTGTGGTTGTTTTAACTGGCGCACGTGAGATTTTGAGAACGTCAGATGTTAGAAATGTATCTATATGACATTAAGTCCCTTTTTCATAAAGTTACCATAAAATGATTCCCCTGGAAGTGACAAGTTATCTAATGCCAACAGTCGCAGAAGGGCACTTGTGAAAGTACACACTGCCGGAAGCCATCCTCGTGCTTTTGATCATGTGTTTCTATCATATAACGGTTGCAAACTGGATTAAAATTAAGATCGTTTTTTCGCTATTTTGCAGCAACTGCTTTCGTTGGTAACAATCGGGAGATGACACCCAAAAAATCCGCCTAACCAAAGCAGCCTGACTATTGGACAGGTGGTAATAGGGGTTTTATGGGTGGTGGCTGGTCGGGATGTACGATACTAACGGACGAAAAGCCTTATTTGAACAGATGAATGATCGAAGTTGGCCCACTCTACGTTCCGCTATTACAAAATGGGTCGCCAAAGGCAGTATAGTGATAGCGGACTAGTGGAAGGCGTATAATCGTCCTCCCTCAGAAGGTCATCTACATTTCTCTGTTAGCCATGCGAAGAACTTCAAGGACCCTACCACCGGACGGCACATCAATGCCATTGAGGCACACTGGAGTAGACCGAAAAGGAAACTCCACGAGGGAGACTCTGTACGTGGTCGAGCTGTGTGGGCTCACATAGTCGAAGTAAAGTATCGTCTTTGGTTTGGCCTCAATGCCATGTCTTTGACAGATGCCTGGGAACTGTTCCTGTCCCATGTTGTGCAGACTTATCTTATTTAAACGTGATTTTGTTTTGTAATAAACTGCCATAATGCGAATGTATGCCGTATATTCAGGTGTACGTGTGTAACGACGGGGAAGGTTGGGTAACAGCGACCATCGTCCATGTAACCTCCTGCGATGTTCGTTCGGCCAGCCCATGTTAGGCCGTCGCCGAAATTCCAAGTGGTGCGTAAAAGTAGGTCTGTAACCGCTGATATAGCCTGAAGGCGTTTGAGTCCACTGGTAAAGGTATTTGGGTGCCATATCCCGATTGTTACCCTTTCGTTTTGTGACGACAAGAATTTGTCAAATGACAATAAAATTACATATATTTTTAGTCGTTCGCAGGCTGATTCGACGGCACTGTTACTTTCTTCTATTTTAGCTAATATCCTCATGTTACAATTTAAAAGTCAATTTGACAAACACATGTTTTCGGTAACTCGTCATTATGCCAAAACAGTTGCATAGGAGTCCAAATTATGCGAAGTTGCAGGGTTTATAAGTGATTCAGGGGTCATAAACACTCATCGTTCCCATGCCACTCAGCAGCGAATTTACGTGCATATTTCATGCACTCTCCCTTCCTACGCTTGGGAGGTAAAACCGACTCCCGTTGCAGGTCACGTCGATGTGTACTTACTCATTCAGATTGTCTATCGGACACCAGCAAGCTTCTCCAGAGGCCTACGCCAACGGGTGCCAGCTACAGCCGAGGCAGTGGCTATACGGCTGCCAATCCTATACTGTCGGGAGACTCTGACACAAGCGCTCTGTCTTCCGTGGCCAACGCCGACCCCAGATGATGATTGCACGTAGTCCCAACCTCCTGATGGCCGTCGTGTGTGCACAACGTACCCGACGTACAAAAATTACTCACAGCCTATGTCCCCCCTCCCCCTCGCCCCCTTGACCCTATGACAACGGCACGCCGAACACGCCATAGCACGCCTCACCATGCGAGTGGCGTGGGAACGATGAGTGGCCGGGAAACGATGAGTTTTAATAACCCCTGAATCACTTATAAACCCTGTAACTTCGCATAATTGCAACTTCTATGTAACTGTTTTGGCCCGATGAGGAGTTACCGAAAGCACGTGTTTGCCAAATTGAATTTTCTTTTATTTGTTGGAAAGGGAGGATTTAGTGGAGGCATTTGCAGATGAATATGTTAAAATGTGGAACATCAATTTGGATGTCGTTTTCTATCTTATAGAATCCTCAATTAATCTAACAGGGAAAAAATTGCTCAATTTAATTCGACGAAATTAACTTTACTGTATTCCTAACGTTTTAATAAACTTCCTCGAATTTTCAAGTTCCCTGGAGAATCCGATGGAGCTACATCATATCTTAGACTTACCTGCGCAGTCGGGTGTTTCTCTGTCACTGATGAATGGAACATGTTATAGAAGATAAAGAACGGTGTCGGACAGGACTGTCTTTATCTTATGGAACTAAAAGATCCTCGTCAGAAAGTGCGTTTATCTTAATTCAGTTACGAGTATCTTTCTTTAATAATTGTGTTCTATGAACTAATAATATTTCGGAACTTATATGGACAGGCGTATCCTGCCAGTTTTCATTATTCACCGGGAATTCCTTCATTGGTGATTATCGCAAAGCTTAACAACGCGCACTATCGGTGACGATGCATTTGCTAGTAAACAGCCCACGTTTTGAGATGCCGCTAGTTTCAGACGTTCGGAAAGTACAAAATGTTGGTTTTATGTTGAAGGGCTTGCAATTACCCCAAGCGTTTTAGGCCTGACAAGACGGATACTTTTCCATTATGTTTACTTAGTAAATCATATGAAATTTGAAGAAGGTGTGGATAAGGTGTAGGTAATTGCCGAAACGAAGGGAGTGTGACAAGTTCTGAACGCATAACTCGCGTCCGCAAATATTTCAGAACACTCAAGATAACATGCGAAACTCTATGGACGACAAACTGACCAAAGATTGCTCCTACTATTTTACTTCGTGCATATAAAATTGCAAAACTAGTCAAAAAATTGAACGAATAATCAATTTCCCTAAAATGAATTGGCATAAAGAAAGCTGTTTGGGCGCACCGTCAGAGGAGAGGATTGAAGAACGAACAACCCTGTCGGCACGAACGAAAACGTTGGTCCCAGGAAGCCCTTCAGGAGGAGACGCATTATGACGAAACAAGGATTTTAATTGCCTGGTGTCTCAAACTAACACTCCAAACCAGCCTCAGGAATGGTAACAAGTAGGGGGTGGTGAATGCACAGGGACTGCATTATTTCGAGGAGAGAGTTTCTGGTGACCTATTACTTATCAAAATAACCGTTTACCGCATTAACAACAGATGTTCGGACTGGGTGCAACAACTGTTTAATGGCCCGTACCCGAGTTGATATTTGCATGATTTCATCATGCATACTCGTCACCGACTTAATGAGTACTATCCCCTGGTTCATCGACACTGTCATTAGGAATTACGTTCTCCCACGTGCTCCCCTCGTAACTAATTATTCCGCCTAAAACAAGTTTGATGGCAAATATGGAGCAGTGACGTCACTTGGGGTGTTGATGGACTGCAGACCGGAAAACCGAGACTTCCGCTTACCGCAGCTCACGCAGTTGTCTCCTCTCGCAAACAGCGTGGTCTCGGTGAACTTAACGGTGTAGTTGGGCCAGTTGGATGAATCCAGACATGGAAGTTAGCTTCATCCCCACCGCTGCTGTGTGTTCGGTTATCAGCTTCCGGAGCCATCTCCCAGTCACGTTGGCGTAGCTTCCTTGTCTGAAACTTCAGCTTCTGCAATAAACGACTTTGAATATTTCGTGCAGCGGCGGCGGATTTTTCGGTCTCTTCACTTAGTGCCTAACAGCTGCCTGCGTGCACTTCCAGGTGGTATGAGGTGGTTAACGGCTTCCGAGGCGTACAGTATGTGGGCTAACTCAAGAATTGTCAACCAAAATTCCGAAATGCGTTTTCGTTTCGAATAGATTAATTAAGTAGGGTTGTGAAGCTGGTCAGCCTGCAACACAATCCTATAATATTTCAGTGAACTCAGGATGCCGGCATTATAATGAACTTCTTTCCGACTGCATGCAAAGACTACACTCTTTAAAAAATAGCTGCTTATGCAGCATGACTTTTTCTCGTTTATTCTCGATGCCTCTAAAAGTCCAAACATGTTTCATGGAAAACATGCATAAAAACGTTCATTTTATCGCTCATTTGGTAGAAAATTACGTCTTCTCCCAATTTTATGCTCGAAGGAAGGGTAATATTCGGTTCTCAAAAACCTTAATTCACGAATAATTTTGAGCCCGTTTTGCCTTTACACTTGGATTCAGGGTTTCCAAACTACAAACCCTACATTTTCCGCGTACGGAAAACCGCACATTTCGCTTCGGATATAAAGGGGACCATATGAAGTTCGTAAAACTGAACAGTGGATTTGATCCATATTGCTAACCACATTGCTTAATGTAGAGACATGACGATTTATGAACGGCCATTTCACGGTATTTAAAAGTCTAAAAATTAGAAACTTTTTTAAAACCGAATTATGTCCCTTCTTCGTGTATAAAATTAGAAGAAAAAGTAATTTTCTACCGAATGAGCAAAAGAATGAGTATTTTTATGTATGTTTTCCATGAAATATAACTGACCTTTTAGAGGCATCGAAATCAATGAGAGCAGTTCATGCTATATAAATAGTGACTTTTTACAGAATGTAGTTTTTGCATGCAGCAGGAAGGAAGTTCATTCGAAAGCCGGAATCTTGAGGTAACGGAATCATGTTGCAGGCTGACTAGTTTTGCAACCCTACTCAACTGATATTTTCGAAACGAAAACGCATTTCAGAATTTCGGTTGACATTTCCTGAGTTAGTCCATCTACTGTACTTAATGGACGTAAACCCTTACTTAAAATCGGGGCCTGTGTAACTTAGGCTCCGGTTTCTTTTGCACATTCATCGACCAACAGACCATGCGGACAGCTATTCACCCTGAGTACTCG